GTGACGAGCGTCACCCGTGGTTCTTCAGCAAATATTTCTTCATCTTCATACTCTTCCATACCCACGAAATTCCTTGAGGTTAAATCCTTCTGCAACACTGGTTGCAGGTTCTTTCCACTCCTCAATGTGATGGCATTCATATGGTGTTTGGGATTAGCATCAGTTCTTCCTGGAAGAAATCCTTCTTGCCTCTGAACAGCTCCTGCAGTTTGGGCAACTTGAACATCAAGCTTCTTCATATGAGAGTTCAGACTCTCAATTTTTCCATTCAAATCCTGATAGAGCGAATCTATCTTGCCATTAAAGTCCACTGTAAGCTTCTGTTGTCCTTCCAAGATCTGTTCTAACATTGCTTCCATTTTATTCCCTTGTGGAGGTGCTGGTTGATAGGAAGAAGAACCATAGTTTCTGTAATTTCCACTGTTCTGGAATGGCTTCTGATACTCTGTCTTCTGGAATTGGGGTCTAGGAGTGAAACCAGGCGTACTTTGTCCTCCTGTAAGGGCGTTCTTCTGATTATTGTTGCTGTATCCTCTGTTTCACTGTTGATTCCCATACTTTTTTCCCTGAAAACCACCAGAATTGATGAAATTTACATCCTCCTGCTCAACTTCCTCTAGAGCTTTGAAAGTTTCCACTTCTGCAGCAAAGTGAACCGACTTTTTCCCCACCAAAAGGCTGTGCATATCATCCAACTTAGCCTTAACTTCAGCAATCTGATTTCCATCAGCTACACCAGCTTGTTTCATCCTCTGAAAGTCTGCATTTTTAGTGTTGTTGCTGCAGACCAAGTTCTCAATCGGTCTGATCGCCTCTTCTGGTCTGTTGCTGTTGAAGTTTCCTGCACTTGCTGCATCCAGCGCCATCTGATATTTCCAGTCAATGCCTCTGAAGAAAATCCCAAGTAATTGCACCTGACTGAAACCATGATGAGGACAGTCCCTTTGATAAGACTTGAACCTGATCCAAGAGGCCTTGAAAGCTTCAGTAGGGCCTTGTGTAAATGATGCAATTTTTGTCCTCATGTCCTCTGATCTTGCATCATCATAGAAGTTGTTCAAAAAGGCGTTCTTGGTGTCTTCCCAAGTAGTCAATGAATCAGGTTCCAGTTGCTTCAGCCAATATGCAGCTTCTCCTTCAAGAGAGTAAGGAAAAAGCTTGCAGAACAGAAAGTCATTGCTAACCCCATTAGCTTTGACACTGGAAGCCAAGTCCTCAAATCTCTCTATATGATCCATAGGATGCTCATGAGGTAAACCATAGAATGGATTCTGGCCAACCAGCTGATAGTAGACAGGTTTAACCTCAAAATCGTTCCTCTGGAAGGCAGGAGGTCGGATTGCAGCTCTGTTGGCATAGAACTGATCAGGTCTGTTGTAGTCACCTAGAGTCCTCTGAACAAAACGCCCAGCAGCGTTATTGACAGCAACAGGGACTTCCACGTTCTCAGCCACTTGCTGAACCTGCTGTTCAACAATGACATTCCCCTCTTGATCAATTTTCTGCCCCTCTTCGTTCCTCCTATTTTCTTCCCTGTCAACTAAGTGACCTTCTGCATCTTCAACCAAGATAAGTGGAGCGACCATTGTAGATTGCTTCTTAGCTTTCCTGTTAGTTCTCTCCAACCTAGCAAGCTCGTCGATGCTCAAAGTCACAAGCTCCTTCTCTTTGTTGCTTCTGGTTCTGCGATTAGGCATACACCTGAAACAGGCACAGAGAAAAGAAACTAAAAGTCAGTAAACAAATAAAAACTTAGACAAAATCCTAATACTAAAAATCGATAGGCAGCTATTACTCCCCGGCAACGGCGCCAAAAACTTGATAGGGTCAGGTTTTACCCAAATAAAACTACTGCAAGTGCACAGCGAAGCAGTTGTAGTACAAGGGGTATCGAAATCCCAAGAGAGTAATGCAGACTACACTATCGAATGTAGATTCGGATTAAGCTAAGCAAGATATGATGTATGTAATGCGAATGAATGAATGAAAGTAAGCAAACGATTTTGTGAGATGATCTAAGTTCCAGAAGACTAAAAGCGCTAAGTCAGGGCAGTTCGCAGGTTGAATCCAAGAATGTATGACGCAGGAAATCAGGAATGATTAAGAACCATTTTAAACATGAATCACTGATGTATAACTAATCAATTCTCATTGAAAAAGTTATCTATGCCTAAATCACAGAGTTTCAAATCTCTTTGCAAACTCTAAAGACCTAAGCATGCAGGAATGATTAGATTCAATTGTTTATAAAACTCCTAAGCCAAATCTCTTTGCACTAAGTTGCTTTGCTCATCAAATACTAGTTCAGGTTATGAATAATGCTCTCATATATATTTAACAACCTAAGATTTTCGGATTCCTAGATGATGTCTCTCAGAAATTCGATTTTAAAGCAAGCAGAGATGAAAAAACCATAAGATATTCCTAACAGATAGCGATTCTACAATCTTTTCATCAACCTTTGAAAAAACCCTAACTTAACTAGCAGATTACTCAGACATGATTATGAGATCACAAAACATAACTGAATAAAATTGCATTAAGAGAAAGAGTAAGAAATAAAAGGGGTTCGAAATCTTCTCAAAAGAGTACAGGATTTGTCTCCCCAAAAAGCTCTGAATAATCTCCCTCTAAGCTCTCTGAATTCTCAAAAACTAAGATAATATCCAACAATGGCTGAAAAACCTAATAAATAGAGGTCAAACACGATCTGGGGTCTTCATGTAAATAAAGGAACTTCTGGGCCAATTCTGCAAATCTTCTTCATACTTTTAATAAAACAGCCACGCTCCTTCCTTGATGGGTGACGAGCGTCACCAAAGGTGGTGACGAGCGTCACCATATGTGATACTTTCTGCTTCGAGCTTGGTACTTCGTGGCTTCAACCCAGAATGCTCCAAAAGGTTTCAAAATCTCCAATTATGCTCCAGACATGCTATAACCTGCAAAGACTCTACTAGGACTCTAAAAAGACCAAAAAGACTCAATAAAAAGGACTTATATCATGGTTAAAAACCATAAAAACCATGATATATCAGCAGTCGAAAGATGCAACTATTAGCAGAGAAGATGCTCCTTGCGGTGATGTGTTGTCCTAGCAAGAAAGTCTATCCATGGCTACCAAATGTTTACAATCAACATTACAATATACCAAATCGAATAAGGTACAACATTACAATGTCTTATAGTCAGATCAATCGAACTAAAGAAACAAAAGAAGTGTACATGCCTTCTTATCATTTACTGTATGGCTAATGAGCAGTGCCATCAAGTGGGAATTGCTGATAACTGTCATCTCTGAATAACACACGCTTAGCCTCTGCAAATCACAAGTAAGTTGTCATTTTATTCATCTCAAAATAATCTTTAATACATATTGACTATACGTTTTTCATAATTTCAGTATCGAAAGGGCTGATGAATCCCTTCATTCGAACTTGTAACCTAAAGTTGTCCATATGCAGACAGAGAAAAGCCAAGAACCGGAGCAATTAACCAATTTTGTAGAAGGTAATTCAATAGGAAAGGACCGATGGTTTCTATATTCTCTATTGTAAATTGTAAGCTTTTGATGTGTTTTCAAATCAGAAGCACATACATAATGTATACGCTAATTTGCAGATCTCTAGAGTTCCATCTTCTAGAGCAAATGCTTGACATATAATCTCTAGAGTTCCCTCTTCTAGTTTCTCAAGTTAAATCCTTCTCTCAGATATGTATTCGATTTTGCGCTTTTTTTTATTTTATTGCAGTAGCAGATTTCATAGTCAACGTGGCTTACTCATGGATAAAAAAAAAATCAACAAAGGAACGTACGACTGACTGAAATTACGTTATTGACGGAAAGGAAAAGGAAGTGACTATTGTTAAATTAGTTGAATGTATTATATAATATTTTCAACTATTTTAACAATATTCTCCTTGAATTCCTTTGATAGCGTGATCTCGGTCGATCTCTTGAATCTCCGAACACATTGCAATCATTCATCCATATATGCATAACATTCATGCATAACACTCATGCATAACATTCATGCATAACACTCATACATACCACTCATGCATAACATTCATGCGTAACCATTCACGATTAACATTCATGCATAACACTCATGCATAAGCACCATTCATGCACATTTTCTTATTTGATTATTTGCTTTGGTCATCGCTTCCTTCATCGGTTCGTTGCTTACATGCTTAACATGTTTACGTGCTTCTTCTTCTTTTGCTTATTTTGTTCATTTCATTGCTTTCTTGTTTCCTCCATTGCTTCCTTACATATGATTTACTTGCTTGCTTCTTTGATTCCTCTGTTTTTAGTGCATTGCTTGCTTTTTTTCTATTGGTTACATATGCTTTACTTACTTGCTTCTTTGATACCTCTGTTTCGTGCAATGCTTGCCTCTGTTTCTTTGCTTTTTGGTTCTTCTATTTAGTGCATTGGTTGCCTCTGCTTTTTTTAATTTCTGTTAAATTAATTGATTTTTTTTTGCTTAACTTGTTTATATGCTTCATTGTTTCTTTGATATCTGATTTTTTGAATGTGCTCGCTTACTCAGACACACACACACTTACTAATTAGTCTAGCATGATTTTTCATGTTATCATCGTTCAATACATTTACGTTATTTATTACATTAATTTTATTTCATATACAATATTGTGATAGCATTATTATCTGCTAAATTTTACATTTCTTTTGTTATTAAGACGAAATTATTAAAATATTGTAAGCAGCTGAGAGTTGAGGGATTGTTGTGGTATAAATTTGTAGCAAGTACCTGCTTTCAATTTTCTTAACTTTTTCCATTAGGCAGATTTTCATCACTGCTTTTTGTATAAACATTATTCCTTAAATATAATAAAATCTCATGTTTATTTATTTATTCTTAAGATGTTCATTATTTTTCCAGTTGCTAAATCTCTGTTTTTATTATACAACGCTTGTGTGCAAGACTAATATCATCACTTGAAAGAATATTCAAATCATACACATATTACTACCGACAAAAAAATTAAAGTTGTATCCAAATCCAGAGTCATGAAATTAAAACTTTTATGTAAGACTACAACCAAAGAATGATTAAACATATATACAGACTAGTAGACTTATAGATTAAAAAGTTAATATATAATACAACATAAATATACGACGAAGGATTGCAATATTGCATATTAGAATTTAGCCAACTGAAATCCTTTTTACTCACTATATTAATCAAAGCTACAACGTGAAGAGTCCATTTATATATAACGGCGGTCGTAACTCGAATGATCAGCACTTGAAAGCATTTCTTTAGAGGAAACTATATGAGTTCCTTATATGAAAAGCCTTGAGCAGCAAAGAATCTATGGGAGATAGATTCTGACCTAGAAGACTCGTTGACCATGAGGAGATCGAAGGGAGAGTACTAGTAGTAGCTGCCATGTTCAAATTCATATCGACAAGACCGGTACATGCATTACTGCTAATGTTCACTGCTAAGTAATTACCGTTCTGCGACTGGATATTACTGGAATGATAAGTATCGATGAAATTTGCGGATGAGAAACTCGGAAGTTCTATATCTCCAAACTCATTGTTGGCTATTGATGAATTTGCTTCGCATTGAGATTCATCGAGAGATGGTTGAGAAGATTGTGGTTGCTCTTGTTGTGGCTTCTTTGCTGCTACGTTTTTCTTGAAAATACGACATACCACCCATTCCTCCTAAAATTTGAAGGAAGTTAACCGGACCGAATTGACTTGATAAGAACAAAAAGCATCGATCCAAATCTCATTTCTTTTCTTTTTTTTTATATGTGAATGGTTTTTCTTTATTGAGAAATAAAATATGAATTAAATTGACCGAAGAGGTAAAAAAGCAAAGATAAACCTTGGTAAGAAAAACAATCTATTTGATTAAAAACGAAATTACGAACGTACTAAACCGATCCTAATTTAAGATACTCTTTTATTCTATAAAAAGATATAGAAATTAAGAATGATCAAAATCCAAACCAAACTTGACAAATTAAAACTTGTGCATGGATGAATGTATTGTGTATTACCTTGGTGGGTTTGAAGGGTTGCTTGTTCTCAAGCCTATATTCATGCATTACCCAATTACTCTTCTCACCCTTAGGAGCTCTTCCTTTGTAGAAAACAAGGGTTTTCTTCATCCCTACTAAAATCCCGGTTCGATATATCTCTTTATCTTTACCGGTAGTCTTCCAATAACCGGCTTCAGTTGCCCGATTCGTCCTTAACCCGGTTGGGTATTTCCTGTCCCTTAAGTTAAAGAAATACCACTCTTTCTCTCCCATTGAAGCCTTTGCTGCACGAATGAAATATTTACTCAAACTTTGTTAGCCGTCGTTCATATGTTCGTTTTATTACCCACACTCTGATAAAAATCTACGTATCATGCAGTATAATTAAAAGATATAATAATAATAATAATAATAATAATAATAAAATAAAAATAATAATAATAATAATAATAATAATAATAATAATAATAATAATAATAATAATAATAATAATAATAATAATGCTGTCTACAGAAATAGAGTACACATGTACATATAGTCTTCACGTGTTTGGTAGGCTAGATACACCACCTACAGAAATTATGCTGCCTTCTCGACAGAAATATGTAGATATTATACACACAGTAATATAACGTGAATTTGTTTTCTCCGAACACCTAAGTTTTGGGAATTAATCTGTTGAGTCATGTCATCTTAGACTGCATTTGAAAAACTATTTAATCAAAAACCTATAGTTTGTAAGAGTAATGTAAATTTAGAGATACATGATATTATTATTATAAAGTTATCTCTCATATACACTTTTATCTTGAGAAATTCATATATAATAATTTAGAGGTAAAAGAACTCGAAATTTTAAAGTAATTGTAATAAATGAAAACATCAGATATATTATTGATACTCTTGCACATGTGTTATGCAAACAAACACGAATAAAAATTCAGAAAGATAAAACCATTAAAAACAAGAGAACGTCGATATATTATAGGAGAAAAGCAATACACAAACATGTTAATTACGTGTATATATATAGTAAGTAATAGTATTAACCTGGTAGATCCCAAGGTTCAGACTTGTTGAGATCAATGTCGACGATAGCTTTAGCCGTGAATCCGACATCCAAGACTTTCCGAGATAGATAATGTGTAATTAGCTCTTCATCAGTTGGATGAAATCTGAATCCTGCTGGGAGACTTTCCTCCATTGACTTAGTTTTTCCTCCAAGTATAATATGGATTCAAATATAATTCTTGACAACAGATGATCTTTTGTTGTTGTTGTTTTTAATACAACAAATGATCTTACATACAAGAATATAGATTTTCCCTCTCTCTCTCTCTCTCTCTCTTGAAGATGAAGAAAGAGAAAATAATGAAAGATTCGCAGAACACAGGTATTCGTAACTTAGATGGGGGTATCTTATATATACACACAGATGTATGGTTGTAAGCAAATATGATTGTATTATTGTTGGAATCCCACATCGGAAGTTTAAAGGGACCAACACTAGTATATATAAGACTTGGGCCAATCCACTCATTGTCAATTGGTTTTGAGTTGGAAGTCCATATAACTTAACATGGTATCAGAGTCTCGTTTGTTAACCCAATTATAGTAGCCCAAAAAAGGGTTTATTACTGGTCCTAAAGTGGGATTCAGTTCGAGATGGGCTGATAAGAGCCATCATCTCGAGGGGGCGTGTTGGAATCCCACATCGGAAGTTTAAAGGGACCAACACTAGTATATATAAGACTTGGGTCAATCCACTCATTGCCAATTGGTTTTGAGTTGGAAGCCCATATAACTTAACAATTATCAAACAAATCTTGAAGGAGAAGTACCACTAATTTATTAATACATGTCATGTAAATAATCCGAAAGACGCGTACACGCGTGTGGGTATGTGTATCTGTATAGTATTACATGCATTGACAAAAAGAATGGATGAGAAAAGAAAATATAGATCATCAGTCCTGTAGATAATATGTTGAATCTTTGCTCGAACATAATTAAGATATTCTAAGTTGAAAGTGGTAGACTCGTATTTTCATTTAATTATTAGCACATTGTACACGTATATATGTATTGTCATATTTATGTGCTTAGTTGGAACTTGGAAGTATAATTAAGTACTTACATGAATATCTACCAATATTTTGTATATCGTAAAATGTCGAAGTACTCGCTCGTTGTTTGATGGTTTGTATTAGTCTCGATAATACAAATACAAATTCGGAAATATCTGTATGGTATTGGATCATTGAATTGAATTTGATAGAATATACAAGAATTCAAAAATAATTGATTTTAAAGTAATTTAAAGTATTTTGTAGGAATTTAAACAAATTCTATCAAAATCCTAGTAAAAATAGTAGGAATTGGTTCTTAACAATTTTTATGTGAGATTCTATTAAATTCCTTCCAAATGATAATACAATCAAAGTTATTACAAAATTGAATAACACAGATATTTAATAGAATTGAAAAATTAGTACATTGAATAATAATGATATTTAAAGGATTTTGAAAGAATGAATGGAAACACTTAATCCAATAACACAGATATTTAAAAGAATTGATAAATTATATCATTGAATAACACTAATATTTAATGGAAACTTCAATTTCTTTCAGTTCAATCCAATTTCAAAATCCAATAATACCCCCACCTTATAGACGACGAAGACAAGCATGTAATGTACTTTGTGCAATATTCTATATACCGTGTTAATTAGGTAATGTATACTCGCCGTTTCCGACCGAAGACATTCGGATAATATCTACCGTTGGTATATTATGCAGCTTTTATGTCATATGGTAGCCAATGTTTCTTTTAGATTATATTACCTATATATATAATTCAGATACTAATAATAATGAAGACATAAATAAATAATAATAATAATAATAATAATAATAAGAAGAAGAAGAAGAAGAAGAAGAAGAAGAAGAAGAAGAAGAAGAAGAAGAAGAAGAAGAAGAAGAAGAAGAAGAAGAAGAAGAAGAAGAAGAAGAAGAAGAAGAAGAAGAAGAAGAAGAAGAAGAAGAAGAAGAAGAAGAAGGACAAATAATAGAACTGTATGAGATACTAGTCCAACCACCTTTACCCATTTCGACCCACCAAGAAACCCTAATGACAGCATGGATTCTTTTTCATTCCTTTGACCCTTAGTCTCTTGAATTCATATAATCTATTGACACTTGTCTTTCTCCACATCTTCTTACGTACCATTTTCACATCTTCTTACGTACCATTTTACTATATATATATATATATAATTGGTTTTAATCTTAGATTACTAGTGACGACAAAAAAAAACTTATATTGTTAAAGTTATACTAGGTATTTATCCGCGCTACGCTGCGGAATATTTTTCAAGATTTTGAATATATTTTTAATAAAATAAAATTATTTTTATAATATAAATGAGTATTATATTTATTTTTTATTAGCTTATGTATTTATATATTTTAAATCTGAATAAACTCTTAATTTTTTTAATTTTCAAAATTATAATCTATTATCAAATTTGTTTAGCTAACTATCTATAAATATATATGTAAGAATAAAACAATATATTTTTAAGTACTTTCATGCTAATGGCAAATGTAATTTATTTTCTCTACTAAATTGCCACTTAATCCTCCTTTGAAATTATATAAAGCAAATTGCCATTTAAAAAAATTATTTATTAATATAATTATTTTGAATTATAAAATTTATTTATTTATCAAATATTTATTATAAACATATGTTTCTAGAACTACCAAAGTATAATCAATAACATTCATATCAAAACCATTGCTATTGCTTTATAACTAAATAGAAAATTATGTTTGAACTGTTGAAATATCAATTAAGTTAAAGTTAAATAATTAAATTTTGGTTACTATAAACATATTGTAACTTAAAAATTTAGCACAAAATTTTTTTATCTTCTTACAAAAACCGAGAAATCGCATTTTCAGACATAACAAAAAATTTTCATTTTCTCACGAAATTGGAAAATCGCATATTCCCGCCAAAAAAAAAAAAAATTATTTTTTCGTCAAACCTGAAATTTCATTTTCCCACCAAACAAAGAAATTGCATTTTTCCGCAAAAGCGAATAAATCATATTTTCTGCGAAAAACTATATTTTCCCGCCAAAACAGAGAATCAAGTTTTTTCACTAATATCAAAAAATTTCATCTTCGTGCAAAAACTAAAAATCGTATTTTCCCGTCAAAATCGAAAAACGTCTATTTCTGCCAAAACAAAAAAAAAAAATCATTTTTCTTGTCAAACCAAGAATCACGCCTTCCTGCCAAAACCGATAAACTATAATTTTCTGCGAAACCTAAGAAATCACATTTTCCCACGAAACCTAAGAAATCACATTTTCCCGCGAAAACCAAAAAATTATATTATATGTCAAAAACTGAGAATTTGCATTTCTCACCAATAACGAAAAATTGTTCATTCCCGCCAAAATCTAAATTTTTTGTTTTTCCATCAAACCGAGAAATTGTATTTTTTGCCAAAATCGTCAAATTACAAATTTACGCGAAAACTAAGAAATCACATTTTCCTGCGAAAATCAAAAAATCATATTATCCATCAAAAACTGAAAATTTGCATTTTCTATTAAAAACGAGAAACCATATTTTTCATCAAAATTGAAAAATTGCATTTCACTCGCATTTTTTCGTCAAAACTAATATATTTTATTTTCGCGTCAAAATCAAATTTTTGTTTTTTCTCACCAAAACCAAAAATTCACATTTTTCTGTCAAAACCGAGAATTCGTTTTTTCCATAATCGAGAAATTATGTTCTCCTACCAAAACTGAAAATCACATTTTCCTACCAAAACCAAGAAATTCTCTATTCCCACCAAACTTAAGAAAATTTGTTCTCGGTAACCACCGGATGTGCGAATCTCCAAGTTGTGGTGGTCTGAGCTTCTCTTCATTTGCTTTCAACTTCATTTTTGTAAACTTTGGTCTTTTTAATGGGTTAGCAAAATAGTAAACTGATTTTATAGTGTGTTAATGATATGTATTATTATTATGTTATTATTGGTTTAAATTTTTGCTGATGTGTGAGCTTCTTATAGCACAACGCTTTTTGCGTTGTTGTTATGGAAACATAGTTGATGATAAGCCTACACTTTTTTCAATCATATATGTCTCTATCAAAGAAATAGATAGCTAGAAATTTTTTTATTTATTTTCTGTTAATTATTATTTGAGTTTGGATTTGGCAAAAAATAAAAAAAAATATATAATTTTTTATTTGTTGTTATTTATTATTTGGGTTTGGGTTTGACGAAAAAATAAAACAAATATTTTTTTATTTGCTATTATTTATTGTTTGGGCTTGGATTTGGTAAAAAATAAAATAAAGATTAACAGAAAAGGTATTTGGGTTTTTAATGGGTTTAAGTTTAAAAATTAAAATAAGTAGATGAGTTGCATTAATAAAATATTTTCATTGGTAAATTTTTTTGCTGAAATGTCATCTTAAAAAAGCTTGAAAAAGCTTATGTATCTTTACCAGGAGAGACTTATGTGTTATTGTCGTATTGATTTTGACAAAACTGATTAGAGCCTAAGATTCAATATTTTATTATGATTATTCTGAGGCATTGATCTAACTACTGAAGCATTGGAATAGTAGTTGGGGTACCCGAAGTTTCAAAGAATTTGCATGTCACGCTCATATTATGTGGTATAGAATTGTTAGGTTGTTGAAATATTTTGACCAAAAAGAAAAACTGATTATCATGGACTCATGGGTAACTAAAACAAAATAACAACTAAGATCAGATTTTTTTTTTGTCTAATTAGTGTTTTTGATTCAACATTTTGTTAATTCATAAAATATTAGTCCATAACTATACTTATTGGCAAAAACAAATATTTTGTATCAGTTATCAACAAATCCGTTGCGACCAGAACATTTTGCCACCACTGTCAAAACTATCTGCCGAAGTCCGTTGCGACCAGAACATTTTGCCACCACCGCCAATACCCCATGTTTAAAAATTGTTTAAACAAATTAAATATTGAAAGTGAAATTCAATTAAACTGTTAACGACATATACACACAAATTTACTATATGAAATATTCTTACAATTAAAAATATATGCCTTGGATTGTCTAAATACGACGACCAATCACTATAATTTCATTAAGATTAAATTCACCATACATACTGTTTATTTCGTCTATATATAACTAAAAAAATTATGTTTCTATTTGTTAACTTTAAAGCGTTATTTTGTTTTTCATTATAGGTAGTATAAAATATTTTAATTCAAAATCTTTTTTATATAAAAGGGATAGGTTTCCTGCTCTCTAAAAGCTGCCACATAGGCAAAAATAATCAACCAGTAAAAATATAACAAATTGCCACATCGTTAAATTATAAATAAAAAACTAACCAATAAGAATAAGACAATATGCTATTTTTATAATTCTTAAATTCTCAATAAAAAGAACAAAACTAAAATGAACTGAAAACGAATTACACTAAAACTCAATTATATAACTTAAACAAAAGTTTATTTTATGGAGTCATCGTCTTCTCGGTTTCCAATCATCTCGTTTCTGACTCACCAGAAACGGAATCAGCCGTTACTAAACACAAATCTTACTTATTAATTAATGACAATCAAACTGGTGATAAACAATAAAACTTAAATAAGTGGAGCATAAACATTTGGAAATCCAAAATACATAGCAATGAGGATGTAAAAAAAAAAGACATAGCGATGAGCCACATATGGTATAAATAATACACAACTCTATCACAAATGAAGTCTAATGTGTCTCATGCTTGAGAAAGTTGTAAGCAACATAAAAATACAATCTCACAACTGTTTTGCATTTATATTTATAATGTAAATCGAGTAGAATGAGTCTGAATCATAGTATTGTTGAAACTGGAGAACGTCTTTCTCGCCAAAAGTAAAACTTAAGGAGCGACTCAGTTTTCTTTCGTCTATAGAAAATTAATTTATACAATTATAACTTTTTGACTTATAACAGATTTCAAGTTTCTAAAGCTGATATAGAGTTCTATATTGTTTGTTGTAATCCGACATTGTCAAAAAACTGAAGTAAAAACTTAACTAAAGAACCGGTGATTAAAGACAGTTGCTCACCGTTTCTTAATTTTCATTTGCAAAGTTTCATGAAACATAAAACTGAAATTTTTTTTTTCAAATAATATATAATGATAAATTCCACACTCTTCATCAATATTGGCAAATGATTGAGCTAGCTAAACTATCAAACAAATATTATATCAATTAATAAAGAACTCATATAATAAAGAAGTTTATTATTAATTACCATTTGTTTTCTTCGTTGAATATATGAACTAATTATAAAACATCTATGTACATACTGAATGTTAAAAAATTGATAAGTAGAGAAATGCATACTATATGAAAATTAAAAACAAAATCCTAAGATACAATATGAAACAAAAATAGAGTAAAGATTGAATTTTTCTTTTTAAAATCATCAAGCGAAAAGGAAGCTTATGCAAAATATTTTTGAAAATATAAAAAAAATACTCATGGTGTTCACTAAAGAAATAGCATTATAACATAAGATGTCTAAATTTAGACAATAAATTTCTAATATAATATATAGTTCATGTGGATACTATTTATATAAACAAAAAATATAACATACAAAAATGTTAAACTTTACCCTTCATATTTGCAAAAATATGCATTAACTCTTAAAAAATGTGTAACTAAGCCAAAATGTATATTAATCTACTTTCAAATTATTATACAAAAATTTCGATAATCTTTTCACATATATATACATCCTTCTGATACTTATTTCGCTTGATTATATCTAAGAATCACATGCAAATATACTACTCTATAATTTCACAATATTAAACACAAAATTAATTAACAATCTTTTATAAAACTACAATATAATTATATAACCCACACGTAGCGTGGACAAAACACTAGTGTAAATAAAAACTACAACAAATTAAAGAGAAAATTTTCTAATGAAAGCAGCTGATTATCGTCGAAAACAATGAAAGATGAAGATATGCATGATTTGTAAGTACATTTGTCGAAACGTTGAATAGAACTTAAAAATCAAAAATTACTAATTTTCAGTTCGCTAGTAATCCATAAAACTTAATAAATACGTTAACCAAATTCGAACCAAAATTGATCCAACCTAAAAATAGTCTAATTTAGTAAATGGCCATGGAACCTTCTTGGATACAGGTCTTATTTGGCTTGATTATATAATTAGGTTATAAAATTAATTAAGACAGATCGATCGAGTTATGATAATTTACTATGTGATGAGTGGTTAATAAAATCTTACCAACCCACACAGAATAGGTGTATACATACATAAGATTATTTAGCCATAGTTTATTTTAATATTTGCACCAGAAAAGTTTGTTTATAAACTAGAGTAAAATTTGGTTTTGGACCATTTTCCAGAGTTTGGTAATGTAATTAGAATTAATGTCAATTCTACATTCCTACGTTGAGAATAACTTCCAAGAGATGCATTTTCTCCTTCACTTTTGTCTCTTCCTCCATTTCAGCTTTCTAGACTCACATTCGCATATATTACAATTTTTTTTTTTTTTTTGCTAAAACATATATTACAATTTGTCTTTACGAAAGGTTAGTTTTCCACAGAACAGTACATTTTTGGGGGGTTACATATACAGTTTTATTATAAGTAATATGTGCATTTTTCCAATTAATATTAAAACTACTTTGAATCGGTCAAATCATACCCTGCAATTTGCATATTATTTACAATAAATCAGAAGGTGATATAAATATGAAAGTCTAGCCAACGGTAAAAAGACGAAATTCCACCTTCTAGTTTAATTCAAAATTATGCAATTGGAGTTCACGATTAATTCTCTAAAATAGTAACGCTTGCAATTTCGTATGTGTAAGGTCATCTTCTTTGTCAGTATGAACGCAGGAGAATTGTCTTCAACCTAATCACTTTTAAATTAAATAATCCGATATGATGATATTTTGGGAGAAAATGGCATCAGTTTTTTTTTTTAAACCACGTCTGTAAATGATTTGTATGATACTACATATATATATATATATATATCGTTTGCAATATACTTTGTTCATTTCTATATTTTTAATGTTATTGTTTACTAAAATAAATAGCATATTTCAAAATTTCACGTTACCAAAACTTTGTTCCATCATTTGTTTATTGGCTCCAATTGGTGCCATATATTTTTAAAGTTAAGTTACAATTGATGTTATAATTCGTTGTAACTTGTAATAAAATTATGTGATAAAAACAGTAGATTTATGTGGTAAGTATGCTGTATAAATCTGACTTAACATTTTTGTCTAAATAGATGACCGGTAACTTTTTTGATGTATAAATTGCATAATGTATTATTTAATATAAAAATTAATAATAATTTGAATAATAAAAATATTTTATGTGAGTAAAATAAAAAAATTAAAATAAGTTTAAAATTTTAGTTATTATTAATTACAAATTTTAATTAAAAAAATAGATTAAAATTTTTAATACTAACTTAAAATACATCAAATTAAAAAGCATATATATAATCATGTGGGAATACTTATTTTTTTGTTGTAGTATATATTAGTAAAAGTAAACTGATTTAGAATGAATAATAATGATAAATATAGATTAAATAAATTAATAATATCTTAAACATAATATAGTCAAATAAAAAAAAGTTAAAAATTATAGACCAAGTAAAAATTTATTGACCAAGTAAAAATTTATTGAAATTTAAAAAGTTGTTGACTAAAAAGCAAAAATAAAAAATATTGAGTTATCAAGAAAATAAATTAAGATTATTTTAATTGACTAAGTCAGTTTTATTGAAAATAAAATGAAAATATATATATTTAAATTAATTTGATAAAAATAAAGCTATCAAAAATTGAAAACTAACGTAAGTGTTAAACAAAATGATAACTCAACTTCTAAATCATCACTTTTTCTTTGATTTAGCATTAACTTTTGAGTTAGCAATTTAACAAAGAAATAACTCAAAATTTTACATCAGCCATAAGTCATTATAACTCAAACTTAAAATCAAAAAACCTAATTTAAAATTTGATTGGTAACATTTTAGAGTTAAGCTCTTAACTCAAACTTAATCAATGGTAATTTATTATTCTTAAATTAACTTTGATTTTTGTTAGCTTTTCCAAAATACTTATTTTTTTATTTTGGTCACATGTTTGAGACAGTAAAAAATAAACTTATCTATCAAACATTTTTTTTAACCTTTTCATACAGAAAATATAATTTTAGTATTTCAGTGGTTCAACCCTATTTATCTCATTCTCATACACCAATTCTCTAATTCAAACTCAAATCTTTCAAAAATTACTGTTGATAACAATATTTATTGTTATAGGTACCGTATATCTGAACACACAAAGATACGTAGATGGGTTTTGAAAAAGTACTTATCCAATTTTTTGTTAGTCAACTCACTTCACAGATCAACCACTAATCTTTTAGCATCATAAACTTCAAAATGTTTTTCCCCGAGATTAATATGGGCCGAATATAGGCCCATTTTAGAGAAATAAAAGCCCAATAAAACCAGAAAACATGAAAAATTTGGTCTATAATCCGAAATCGGGAAAATCTAACCGTGGAAAGGAACGAAGAAACAAAAGTCCGATGGGGAGGAAGAAGGGATTGCCGGAGTTCGAAGAGACGGCGCCGGATGGATTCGATCCGGAGAACCCATACAAGGATCCGGTTGCGATGGTGGAGATGAGGGAACACATCGTCCGCGAGAAGTGGATACAAATCGAAAAGGCTAAGATCCTGCGGGAGAAGGTCAAATGGTGTTACCGCGTCGAAGGCGTTAACCATTACCAAAAGTGTCGCCATCTCGTCCAGCAGTATCTCGACTCCACTCGCGGCGTCGGATGGGGCAAAGACCACCGTCCTATCTCTCTCCACGGTTAGCTTTTTTTTCCCCCGGCGTTCTCTGTCAGTTTGTAAATGCTTAATCGAAAAACTCTTAGGGTTTGGATTTTCTTAATCGATTAGTATCTCCATGAACTAGTTCTCTCATCTTTGAGCTCAATTTATGCCGAGTCTCTTCGAGTGTTGAATGATTTTTTTTTTTTGTCAAACCAGGTCCCAAGGCAGAGGCTGTTGAAGCTGAATAGTTTTGTGGGTCTTATTGATCTTAGGTAATGAACATCTTCTAACTGGATTTTGAATATTTATGCATCTCTGAATTGATCAGATTTTAGAGTGATTTCAGTTTTGGGTGATTTTTGATTACAATCACAGAGTTTAGAATTAGTCTCATAAATTTTCACTGGTGATTTTAGAGTGACTTCAGTTTTGGGTGATTGTTGATTGCATAGTTTAGAATTAGTCTCATGGATTAGTGTCTCCATGAATTAGTTTGAAATTTTGAGCTCAATGTATGCCTAGAGTCCTTCGAGTGTTGAATGCAATGTGGATACTAATGGGTTTTTTTTTTTGTCAAACCAGGTCCCAAGGCAGAGGCTGTTGAAGCTGAATAGTCTTGTGGGTCTTATCGATCTTAGGTAAGGAACATCTTGTAACTGAACTTTTTAATATCATTATGCATATATATATGAATTGATCAGATTTTAGAGTGACTTAGTTTTGGGTGATTGTTGATTGCAATGACAGAGTTTAGAATTAGTCTCATGGATTTTTTTACTTGTGATTTAGGGGATGGGACATTGTTTTGGACTGTATTAGATGAATTAATAGATCATGAGTCGTGACTCAGTTTTGGAACATTTTGGGGACATATGTTTGGTTATAGATACCAATCTGTTTATCATTTGTGTCCTTCTTTACTCTACATTAGAGTTAAACATAGTCACGGATTTTTTTCATTGATGAAATAAAGAGATGGGACATGTTTTGGACTGGATTGAGTTCAAGCATTTAGGTTTTGATTTGTGAGAACTTGTGAAAAAAAGTTCCACTAGGATTATGGCCTATAGTTAAATTCTTACAGTTCAAGTTTTGGTTGGTGATTTTCATTTGGTTCAAAGATTTTTAAAAAATCTCTTCTTGCTCCAATGAAATAGGTGAGTGAGAGCTTTGATAATTGAGTCTCTGTCGCAAGTTAATGGCTCTCCATGAAGGTTACTGCTTGATTTATGCTTCTTTTTTTTTGTTTAAGTAAAACATATTTACTAATTGGACTAATTGCTTTCAGTTAGTTAAGCTCACCCTCGGATTTTCAATAATTTATGTTGTACATTCGAGTCTCAGTTTCTTGAAATAATGAAATTCTCAAGCCACTGTAACATCTTCGAACTCATTTTGATTTATATATCATGATTGTTACAAGTGTATATGCTTGCAATATATATCTATTGAAACAAAAGGAGTTAAAATACGTTCTCTAAGTGTAACTGTGAGAAGTATTTACGTTTCATTTCAAAATTGTAGGATTAGGTTTCCACAAAACATCTTTCGTTTTTTCTAATGGAAAAAGAACAAGCTTTCAAAATAATTCATAAATTTTTTATGAAACATTTAGTAGTTCAACTTCAAACTTTAATGGGATCTGTTATCATATGTGAAATGGGGACAAAAGACTGGTACAGGACCACAGACAAAATGAGTCAGAAAACAAAAGACAAACAAACAAAAAGATAAAACTTAAAGAATGGGTAAGAAAAAGAACCCATAAAAGACCCAAAAACATAATCCAACTCTGACCAATAAGATCGCAAAGATATAGATCAACTTCGGTACATGAAGCCAAAATCATCAGTACAGTGTCTTTTCCCTTTGTACAAACCAACAAAAAAGAGGTATGGCCACACCTCAATAATACACCAAGTCTTTAACTCCTCAATGTCATTAGTTTTAAACCTTCAACCTTAACCCTCTATATGTGAATCACTTCCAAGATTAATCTGCTTTATCTAACTATGTTAAAAATGTATAACAAGACTCATTTAGAACTTCAGCTAAAAGCCATATCTTCTTCCTGACATAAGAAAGAACTGTCAGTAAAAAAAATCTTCAAGATTGTAAAGGTCTTTGTCTAACCCCAGCGAAAAAAATATTATTATATAACCTAAGAACAATCCTTTGTCAGTGCCCATTATTCTCCATCCTTCTTAGCCCTTGTCTTCTTCATTGTCCCCTTTTTCTCACTTTAAGATCTTTTTTGTTCTTAGCTCATGACAAGTCACCAAAATATCAAATTCCAGAGAAGTATAAAACCGTGTTACTGTTTTATTTACTTGATAAAGAGCTTTTTATTGTAGCTAAGTCTCTAATCCTGATTTGATTTAACTCTGTTCCATGTTTTGCGCAGAAGCTATGATTCCGGAGCATCAAGAAGATGTCAAGGCGCCACGAGCCTGTGAACTGTGTCTGAGCAAACATGCGGTCTGGTATTGTGCCTCCGACGATGCTTTCTTGTGCCATCTTTGTGATGAGTCAGTGCATTCTGCAAACCAAGTGGCGACAAAACACGAGAGAGTTTGGCTTCACGGAACAACATCAAAGCCGGTTTGGCACAGCGGGTTCAGAAGAAAAGCAAGAACACCTAGAGTCCGTTCTGAGAAGAAGCCAGAGCAAGAGATAGATGATGAGAGAAGAAGAAGAGAAGACCCTCGTGTTCCCGAGATTGGAGGAGAAGGAATGTTTACAATACCAGAAACCAATGAAGATGATGATGATGATGATCTGACTTCTCTTGTGCCAGAGTTTCAGGGATTCATAGAGATGGAATTCTTCTTGAGCAACCATGATGGTTCTGAAGACACAATGAGACAATTCAACTTTGAAGATGAGATTGATGCAGTGGAGGATCTATGTTACAATGAAGAAGAAGGTAAAACTAAACCCGATGGAGATGAAGCATTTCCTGAACAATCTTTGATGAGCTCCAAGAAAGATCACGGCAATGCCATCGCGATTACAACAAAGACAGAAGAAAATGAAGATGATGAGAGCAATGCGAAGCAGAGGAACATGTTACTTAGACTTAATTACGAAAATGTTATAGCAGCTTGGGACAAACAAGAAGAATCTCCAAGAGGAGCAACAAGAAACCAATTTGAGTTTAACAACACAAGTAACTTCCAGCTAGTTCCCCCAGTAAGCTCCTTTCTAATTTCATTTTGTTTTGTTTACAATAAATGTTACCATAGTTTCAAACTGAGCAAATTCACCCCCAAATTTTAAAAGAAACTTATGGTAATGGATCTCGATTGCAGGGGATAGAGGGGAAGAAAATGAGCAGCAGAAGTGAGAGAGAAGCAAGAGTATGGAGATACAGAGATAAAAAGAAGAATCGTCTGTTCGAGAAGAAGATAAGGTACGAGGTTAGAAAGGTCAATGCAGACAAAAGGCCGAGAATGAAAGGTAGATTTGTCCGGAGATCTTTAACCAGCGACGTCTAGGAACGGATGGATTCTCTCATATCTGCTTTGAATTCTTTTCAAATCAAATGCTATACTACGATTAAACTAGAAGCTATGAAAATATGAATTTTTAAGTTTCCATGGGGATTTGAACGCAACTGAAACATAAAAAGGAACTAGAAGTAGGTTCATTTCCGAATTTGGCTATGAATTCAGATAATAAAACAAATAACCTAAGTGAAACTTGAATAACAAGGTACGCACTTATACTAATGTAGTAAATTTTATTACATAATGTAATGTAGTATTTTGCACTACTATGTTCGCCGTTGTGACAAACAAAAAAAGAATCTAAAAAAGAAGAATATTTTACAAACTCATATCGATCCCATCCAAACTAAGTATCGAACTTAAAATCGAATTAAAACTCCGCTGTGAAAATAAAATCAAGAAGAAAGCCGAGGGAGCGGGTTAAGCCAGCATGGGAGCACGTACTGTGAGAAGTAGAGGCTGTGAAAACGACCTAACGTGGCATTGGAATAGCAAGAATAGATGGAGTCCATATACTCCTTGCAACCGCTAAGCTTCATGATGCAGTCATCCACGGATCTCTTCTCCCCCGACGTTGACTCCTCCGTGTGAAGACTAAACTTGCGAGTCCTAAAGTTCAACACGACGAGGCCGTTCTTGTCCCCTACTCCAAAGGTACACGATGTCGGAGTTGAAAGGATGCATCACCACGAGGAAATAATCCTCACCGAACGACTTGGTGTTGAGTGCTCACGACAGCTTCCACGACGCGTCAGGATCGTTATCACAGTACCGGACCAGCCTCCAAACCCTGATGGTACATCCTCCATTGTCCTTGAAAACGTTACAGTACACCACGTGTCCTGCAGAGGTTGTGATTGTTCTCCTGAAACGATAATGCCGTCGTTCAAACTGCGCCATACCAGGAAAAGGTATCACACGACACTCATCACCACATTCCCTATAGAAATCATATGATACGACATGATCCGCATCTTGGTCGTTGCCAGCAGCAGTAAGCCAGTGAAGAACCCCTTTCAAAGGAACCGAGTGCTTTAGTCTAGACCATAACAAGGGACGTATGCAACGCACCTTCTTCTCGGTTTCCCATAGTCCTGTCTCAGAGGAGTATATCATAAAGGTGAGGTAGTTAGATGACATACGTGACATCACCCACACAACCTTGTACCCAACGACTATACCCTCTTCCATCTTTGTGACTAGTCCAGTGTCGCTGAAAGCATATGTTTTCTCCTGCAACCTCACCACATCAAAACCAGAGAGATGTGGAGGCAGAGGGATTCGAGCCCACTGCTGCAACAACGGGTTTCCCACATGGTACATAGGAGCTCCCTCGCCGGTTTCAGTGTAAAGCAGTACCAACCCATCGGCGATGCTCAGGACCGAAACCTTTCTCACTGTCGTCCCGGGATCGTAACGCATGATCCAAGACCCGAGAGAGCTGGTAAGACCCCATCTCTCGCATCCATGGTGTCCTACGATTTCCAGCGCCAGTGTGCCGTTCCTGTTGCTCGTGATTGACCACGACACGGAGGAGCGAGTGTTCAGAGACTGATACAGTTTTCGGAAGAAGTCTGAATCGATTATCGATTTCCATGCTTTGCACACCGATCTCCATCGAGCGATGCTCCTCAGCGAAAACCGAGCCAAGAAGATTTTCACCAACGCTTCCTCTGGAAGCACCACCACTCTTCTGTTTTTCTTCTCCATGCTAGATTTTCAGTTTTAGGGTTTCTCGGTCCTCTTCCCCTGAGACAAAGAAAGGAAAAAAAAACTCTTGTGAATACAGAAAACAGATAGAAAATTTGATGTGTATTCCACTATTCCTTATATATAAAAAAGATAATGAAAATTTCTACCAAAATAACATTAAAACTAGATAATAATCTGCATCATATGCGAGGTGAAATAATAATTATTTATTTAATATAGTATAATTCTAAAATCATATAATAAAATACAATTGATTTTATATAAGTTGTTTATAACATTATATTGTAATATTGACAAAATATTTTTTTAGTTTATTTTATGAAATATAGGATAATTTAATTCTAATTTAAATTATATTAAAATTAAATATATATGCACAATCTAGATAAAAATACGAAATCGCTCTTTATTTTTTCTATAACCCATGATTAATAACATAATCTTAAAATTAAAAAAATAGAGGTAAAATATATTTTGATTAAATTATTAAGTATCTAATGCGTTATGATAATAATAAAAAAATAACTATTTCCTCTATTTCATAATATTAGTTTTTTTTAAGGTTTATTTTTGTTTCACAATATAGTTGTTTTCATGTTTTACTACTTCCTATGAATACTATGTGGCCGATTATATTTTTCAGTTTTTAATAATTAGTTGAATTATATATAATCCACTACATATTCTTTGAGAAGTAACATTATTGAAAATAGCTGATTTGTCAACACTACAACCAAATTTAGTGTTTTTAATTGATGACATGTAAATGTGACATGTCAAACTTCATAAAATAAATAAAATATTTTGATTGATTGAACTAAAATTGAAGAAATTATAAAACTAAAACATAAAAACACTATATTATATTTAAATTAACAAATTTAAATCAACAGAAAATAATAATTATTAAAATATCAATTTTTTACATATATTCATAATTTCATAAAATATAACTACAAAATGTTTTCAACAATATATATATATATTGTAATTTCATATAAAAGCAAAACAATAATACTAAATATCCAATAAAATAGTACAAATTCTATATATTAATAATACTAGAAGTATGATATATTTTTATTTTGAAAAGATATTAATTTACAAAATATATTAATAACATCTAAAAAAGTTTTAAATAAATAAATTATTAATTAATACAATTTTAAATAAAATACAATCATGATAAAAATAATTTAGAGAATAGAATGTTAAAAATAATAAAAAATAATTAACTTTTATTGAATTTTTTTTTAAAATGTAATTTAAAATAATTTTTTTTTCAAAACAATATTTACTAAATGAATAAAGTATATACTAATTATTATTTTATAATATTAATAGGACCATATACTTTTCTATAACTTTTATCATCTTTTTATTGTTATTTTCTAAAATGTACATAACTTATGTTACCATCTCATCTTATCTCTTATCATATTTTAAATAAAATAAAATTTTATATCATATTCACACATATATATATATATATATATATTTATTTATTTATTTTAATTGTATATCAAAAATGTGAGATCATAAATGAAATAAAAAATAATCGAACGAAAGAATAAATTAAAACAAGATGAAACAAATATGAATAAGAAATAAAAATAAAAGTATATAAAAATAAATCTCTTGCACTTTGTTTTATAAAGTCACTTAAAAACTTTTTAACACATAAAAGCTATATCTGGACATTTTTACAAATAAACGTATAAATATAAATAATAATTATGCATTAGTTGAAGTCACTTAAAAAGTTCGCATGTATTTTGTTAAGCTTGATTAAAATCTTATTTTCATTTTAATTATTATATAATTTATATTTTAAAATTTTTTTTATCTATTCTAAGTGCAGTGAAGCCGTTGTATGTCCGCACATGCGTGCCAATCATCTATCTGCTCTTACGGATAAGTAAAATTAGTAAAAACTATTTCAGTTGAATTTACAATAAATCAAAAAAATATATAGTTAAAATATATTATATATGTATTTGCAAATTCATATTATGTAAGACGCAAAAAAACATATTGTAGATTGTGTAAGGAGAAATAAAGCATATTATAGAAATATTAAAAAAATATTATAAATATTTAATTATTATTTAATATAAATTTTATATTTGTGAATATATATTATTACAAATATTATAAAAATAAAAAGTTTTAAAATACATTGGTTTCAGAAAGAAGTTTGTGAAATATTAAAATAATATATATATATATAAAAACATACCAATGTTTGAAAAAATTAATCAATATTTAAATATTATAATTAACTATGTATATCAATAATATTATACCTGCATATATGTGCGTACCAATCACATATATAATAAATGATTATTTTTTTAAAAGAAAAGTTGATTTTTAATCTTTGTGCTTTGATGCAAACAAATTATATTTTAAAATAGAGAGTATTAAAATTATAAAAATAAAATTTGATTATAAAATTTTATAATCAATTTTAATAGTTCTTATACGAATGTAAATGCACATTTAGATTAATCCGCAAAACTATAGTCATAAGAATATTAACTTTTAAGAAAATAAAATTACTGTGAAATTTATTTTAAATACTAAATATACATATGGATTATATAAAATAGATTATATTTTTTATTATTTTTAATAAATTATCTAAAATTGTATATAACTGAGTCAATACTTATACATACTTAACTTTTTGATTCAATAAAAATATTTTAAATATCAAAAATTTTAATAAAATTATTATATAATATCCTTACAAAAATATTTTAATTTTTAACCAAGTTATTTTGTTGTATAAATTAAAAATTTATGATATTTAATATTTTAATCAAATAAAATATTTATAATATTATATTCTGTTAACATATTCAACTATTTTTTATAGTCAACTTTTTATTAATATTTTGTACTTATTATAAAGTTTAAATATTTATATTATTTAGTTAATTTATATTGTTCTAAAACCATATGAAACCAAAAATAATAATAATAATAATAATAATAATAATAATAATAATAATAATATCTTTTAAATTAAGCTTTTTGTTTTTTTTTAATCATCTATGTACTTTTATATTGATTTATGAATCATCTATTGATAGACTTAAGGTGCCACTGGCATTCATGAGAAAGAAGACACGCACCAAGGGGAGAAAAGCTCGGGAATGGGAGAAGAAGCAGAGCGAGAGAAGTGGCTAAGAGGAAGAGGCGAAGAAGAAGACCAAAGACTCTATATCGTCAAGAGGGTCTTAAGTTATTTATGTTTTATGTTGCACTGTCGTTTTACTATTGCAGCGAGTTATGCTGTTGTATTTAAGGAACAGTGAACCCATTAGGGTTGTTATCTTATAAGATCAACATTAAAATATCCTCTCTTATCTTATCTATATTTCTTCTCTTCTCTAAATCCCTTTTCTTATTATCCGTTCGTAAACTAGGTAAGCTTCGAGCTTATCATTTGGTGCTTTCGTTGAGAGCTTCTATGGAGAG